ATTCCCTCTGTAATAATGTACATCAGAAGTCGTAGACATTAGGTGCTTTCTGAGAATTCGAGATTTGAACAGTTTAGCAGGACTTTCATAGGTACTTGTATGCTCCGCATTGCGATATTGAGGTAGGAAGTTATCTACACATCTCTCTAGCTCATCGAAATTCTTAGGACTCATTGATGCTATGGCACTCTTTAATGTTCGTACGAAATTTTCTGCCAAACCGTTTGACTGAGGATGACGTGGTGCTGTGTACAGATGACGGCAACCTATGTGTTTAAGCCAATCATTGAAGTTCTTCTCAGTGAAATGAGTACCATTATCAGTAACTAAGACATCTGGAATTCCTTCTCGACTAAAGATCTTTCTCAACGCTCTGTGAGTGAATTTCGCATTAGGACTATCTGTAATTATAACTTCTGGCCATCTAGAATAAGAATCCACAATAATTAAAGCATAGTATGAATTTAAGAATGGACCACAGTAATCTGCATGAATACGCTGCTAAACCTCACAAGACGTAGGCCACGGTTTCCACGACGACTTCCCATAGGACATTTTATGCAAACAGCTGGAACAGCTCTTCGATCTTTTGTTAATGTCAGCATCAATTTCCGGCCACCAACATGTTAGACGTGCTAATGATTTCATCTTATCAGCTTCCAGATGCGCAGAATGAAGATCATCCAAAATCGCAGATCTTAATGTCGGAGGAATAATAATTGTGTCATTCAGACATAGAAATCCTTCAGGATGGACTGAAATCTCATCTCTTCGCTTATAAAAGTCCGGAAATCTTCGCTTACACTGAATATTTCAACCTCTTTTTGTTGCATTTATAATGCACCCGTAATATTTCCGAGTATCGTTTATAAGTCGAACTCTATCCACAGGTAACGGCTGGACTAACAAACAATCAGTGTCATTAGCAGAATTTTCAAATAATGAATAACGAGATAAAAAGTCTGCATGAGGTATATCCTTAGCCGATCTGTGTTCAATAGTGTAATCATATGCACTTAGTTCTAAACTCCATCTTTGAACCATAGCATCAGATGATCTATTCAAAGATTTTTCTGGGTTGTAAATGAATTTCAAAGCCTGATGATCAGTAACTATGTGAAACTTAGTACCAAAGAGATACTTGTGCAAGCGTCTTATTGCCCATACAACTGCTAGAGCCTCTTTCTGGGTTTGTGAGTACCCTTGTTCACTCTTACTTAGACGTCTTGAAATACAAATAACAGGTTGTCCATTTTGCTCAAGTACTGCAGCTATACCCGTAGGAGAAGCATCTGTAGTGAGAACGGACTTATCTTTCGATGAAAAAGGTCTTAAGAAAGCTTGTTTATTAAGAAACTCCAAAGTTTTTCGCAAGATATCTTCATGTTGTTGTTCCCACCTAAATTGTTTACTGGAGACAATATCAAAAAGTGGAGATAACAGTTGAGTGAAATTGGGAATGAATCTGGAGTAAAATTGAAGAGTGCCAATCCATGATCTCAACGACGTCATATTATTAGGTGACGGTGCTTGAATTAGAGGTGCCAAACGCCTAGCATCAGGTCTGAAACCCTCAGAGTCTACTGTATATCCCAAGCATGATACAGACGACAAAGGAAAATGACATTTAGATGGATTAACAAGAACATTTTTCTCACAGAAACGCCTGAACAGTTTTAAAAGACGTTCATTATGCAATTCGATGTTCGGACCATGAACTATAATGTCGTCTTGGTAAGACTCAACACCATCTAATCCGTCTATCATCTGATTTATTACTTTTTGAAATATTGCAGGAGAAACCTTTAAACCAAAAGGCAAGAACTTATACTTGAACAATCCAAATGGAGTATTAATGGTTGTTAATGCACTAGAAGCTTCGTCAAGAGGAATTTGCAAATAAGCATCTTTTAGATCTATTTTGGAAAAGTATTTTGAGCCATGTAGCTTGTAGAGAATGTCTTCGCTTTCTAGCATAGTGCAACTTTGCTGTAGAAGACGACTATTGAGTGTAAGACGATAGTCACCACAAATTCTCGGTGTTTTTCCGTCAGCCTTTAGTGGTGTGACAATGGGAGTAGTCCAATTCGAAGATTCAACTGGCATAAGTATGCCCTGCTCAACCAACTTGTCCAACTCTTTCTTAACTGCATCTCGCAAACCATATGGAATTAATCGGCGCTTTAGGAAGATAGGATCACCCTCTATTTCAAGATGGATGGGCTGAATCTGCATGCCACCTACACACTTTGAACATTGAAAAACTAATTTTCTGAACAAAGATTCATCAAACAACTCAGTACAAAGTGAGATTTCAACATTTAACAATCTAAGGGCTTTCAGTCCCAATAAAGATGGACCATATTCACTAACAAGAAAGGGGATATTCACAAAATTACCACTGTCTGACTTCAAACAAATGTTAGTTGCACCAATAAGAGGTAGTTTATGACCAGTTATGCCTGTAATTGAACTAGTAGTAGGGTCTACCTGAGCATGCTTACAAAGCGATAGTAAATCTTTCTTAGAAATTATAGATTCAGTACTCCCAGTATCAATTATAAAACAGTGAGACTTGCCTGAACTTGTAGTGAAGTTTCTCACTAGATGAGATTGAGTATTGTGAAAAGTTGAAAGAGACATTGACTTCATTTTATCAGACAGTTTGGGAGAATCATCAGTAGCATAATTATTTGAACTTCTGCAGACAGATTTGATGTGCCCAATCTTACCACATTTATGGCACTTAGCACTCCGAAAACGACAAGTGCTTCGTAGATGAAGTTTTCCACACGAAAAACACGGTTTGATGTTCTTGCTTTCTGTATGCATTCTATTACATGTGGACGGCAGTTTGGATTTCTTTCTATGAACACTTTTATTATCAACTTTGGACAGCATGACATCAGACTCTGACGTAGTGGCAGCTGGGTAGTCACTGTTGACATCTTAATACGTAATACATAAATCCTTGGCAGTTTGAAAGGTGCAGGAAGGTATCTGAACCAACTCTTTCTCTAACTTAGGAATATTGATTCCAGCAATTAGACGACCACGTAGTTGAGTATGGAGCTGATCTCCAACGTTGCATTTTGAAGCTTGTATCTGAAGTTGAAGAATAAAGTCTCTAATCTTCTGGTTGGGAGCACGAACAAGTTTGTTGAACTGAGCCCTCTCTCGTGTTTCGAAAGTTGTTATGTGGAAGTGATTTGTTAAAAGTTCACGGAGTTTATCATAAGACAGAGAAATTGGTTTATCTGGAAATGACAGAGTTTTCAGTAGGCTGTACGCATCTAGCCCAATAGCAGTAATAAAATGAGCTGGAATTTTGTCATCGCGAACATTCTTCGACATGCACCATGCGTCGAAACATTCAAGATAATCGGAGATTTCCCGCAGTGAACCATTTATAGGAAACTTTCCAAGATTATTTAATTCCATTGCGACGCCAAAATGTGATTGTTATTTGTACTAGTAGTATTGTATTTCGCAATGACCGAATTACAGGAACTCAACCAAAACACTGAGAGGGATGAATTTAGGAATTTGTATTTGGCGGAATTGTATTTTCAAATCAAAATAATAAATATATTAACAAACAACAGTAAGTATTTAAACAATACAAAGATAGAAATAGTCAATCACCACACCAGTTTTCGTTATTATGTCTAAGTATCTTTCTAACAACCTAGATCCTCTTGCTTTAGACGTCTACCGATGGAGCTTTTAACAAATTTTGTCAATTTTGCTTGCAATATATCTATTCAGATGAATATAAATTGAAGGCTGTCATCCAAGATTAGATTGACTGCATACCTATCGTCATTCAGATAAATGCTATGACAAAAACACTAAGGTATTAGTGATCCAGTATTTTGAGGAAATTAGCAATTTCATGCCTACGTGATCGTCTTAGCCTGAACCCTACACAATGACATGACTTCACTATCCTTGAGAAACAGCAGAGATCGAAGCCAAAACTTTCAGGTTACAAGGTGAGTGAGTATTCACTTCACAACCGACAAATGGTAACTCTCACAGGTCACCACTTCTCATCACAACTTCAGGATGCATGATCGAAATCCGAACTTACCTAATATGACTTGAGTGGCCAGATTATATCATAAGTCATCATACCACAGAAGTAGGTAGTAAACTAGAATATACGAACCCTCATACAACTAACTGCTTTTCAGAATCCATATTGTTTTAGCTTGAATACGGTTGCAGAGAAGGCAGGAAAATGTGATGAGTGAAAGGCTCCTCATCCATTCTTTAGTGAATTTCCTGTAGATATGTTTACAACATTCCTTAACATGGAATTGGGAGTGTGTTTTAACCGTGATTCTTTATAATTATATTATCCTTGTAAATATCTATATTTGATTTTATTTAATTCAATACACTCAAGATAAAAGCTACCAATTAACGAAGAAAAATGTATGCTTTCTGAAATGTATATTTAGGTTCTTGCAAACAAATCGCTGAAACGTGTACATTTCATCCATACGACTATTGCTGTGGAGGATTAGTGTGTGAACGGTTACATGGACCTGAAGGTAACTGTATGCCATGCTTTCGTAGAGGCCACTTATGTTACAAGAATGAACATTGTTGTCATAAGAATTGCTATTTCTTTGTATGTGTCTAAAATCTATCTAATAGATTATTATTTATGAAATATTCTGTACACAATACACATGTATTAGCATACCTTTGTTCATAAAAATAAAGTTGATCAAGTTGCCCTATCATTCTGACAGAAACCAGGGAATTGTTCAGTTGATCACAATACAATCAAATTCTTAATATCGTAGGAAACCATCAAAAGTTGAGTCAGCATGATTAACTAACGAAAAACTGAGTCACTAATGAACGTCTAAGCACTTTGTACTACAGATATTATTACAAATTGAATAATCAGGACACGTTTTCCAACGTTAACAAATAACATAGATATACCAGTAGAAAACCCATTAAATACAGGAGACAAGTGAAAAAAAAATAATTAAAAATATAAGCCTTTTATGTACAAAATACTTTTTTTTCTGGTCTGTACAGAATTAATAGTTCGACTTCACTTTAGCTTGAACAAGAGAAACAAGACGATGAGCAACTTCTGGATGCAGAAGACGTGCAATACGATTATGAACTTTTTTACCTGAAAGGTTACTGCTGATATCAGTCTCAAATTCCATTTGATATTCATCATCCTCATCTTCATTTTGTTGGTCAGCTAACCAACTGGCTTCACATGCACTAAGCACACTTGTTTCCCATACTGGCATCCCGTTATGTGTCAGCGCCAATATACAATTGCGTACACGACAAACTGCAATACGTTCAGCTAACAATTCAGTTTGATCAGTCATACTTTCAGCTGCTTCAACTGGTGCCGATAAACCAAGACCAATATCCATAGCTCTTGCAGGACCTGTCCAAACATATCCATTACAGCCAAGGATAAGACCAACAGAAATAACTTCATTTGATCCTGATGTCAAACAACTGTCTAGTGTATTAGTTCGTGGAACTGCTAGACGATGTCTATGAATTTTCTGTCGTTTGATAAGACTTGGTGGAATATGCAACAAACAACCACCTCCCAATTTACCAGTCCTAGTACCTGGCATATGAAGTTGTAATGTACCATCTTTGTAAACTTCGTGGACTTCAGCAACAATAAGATCACCCTCCTACAAAGACAATCATTAAAAATGTGTGGGATGAAAACGTAACATTATAACGACAACTGTAACTAGAAACTCACTGAAATGTAGAGTAAGCCAGGGAGCTGTCAACATTGAACCGATGTATCACCCAAACTTACTTCAAAGTCTCAGGTGTATTTCATGCTTTCCAATCACCGATAGATTGATAAGAATTTTTCCACCCTATATGAATAATGCCTAGTGCAGACTTATCAGTATTATGTGCCCACTGTTGATCGCAATACATGAGGCATGCCGTATGAACAACCTAGACTCAGCATTTTTCAGATATCACTTTGTAATACAATTAATATCCTATTTAAAGTATCTAGTTGAAAAAGATTGGAAAAGTTTATTTATATGGGGGATGAGTGCGCGATATCATAGTTAATAGATAGTTGAAGGCAATTCGCGGGAAGCCTTGGACCTGGGTTTCGGGCAAGCTGGCACTCGTCAGCAAGGCGTATCTGTAACTTTGAAGGAACTCATGTCCCTTCTGAGATTCGAACCAGTGTCACCAGGCGCTGAAGTCAGAGACAACCCCTTTTCTACTACTGAATTAATAGTTACATGTATTTATGTTTTTTTAGGAAAACTTACGTATTATATTCTTCAAAACTTTAGAATAACTCAGTCATTACATGAAAATAGTCTGATTGTATTTAAGTACAAAAGTCAATCAACACGAATGTTTTTATTTAACACTTAATGAACATAACACATCTTTGATTGGACACCAACTAGTATCATGCGTCGAGTTCGGTGATTGGTGCAGACTGAATTCTGTCAGTCAAGTTTGCGACACGGCCACTATTCGACCATCTAATAATAACAATTCAGAGTGCAACGTGATGGCGAGACACCTAGACTGCTGGCCACATTGCAAACTTGACTGACAGAATTCAGTCAGCACTAAACAAAGGACTAGACACACTACACTAGTTACTAACCAGTGTCCAATCAAAGACATCATAGTTATCTGTGACAAGTTGATGGATGCCACGAAAATCCTTATTCGGACACATACAATAGAAAAAGTATGTCGTTAATATATGTGAAAGAAAATAATGAGTGTTTACCATTTTCAAGTCTACTGATAACTCGCCGACATAATGGATCAATAAGACAACTTGTCTACAGAAAGCCTACCTGGATGGGACAGTATCCAAGCTACCATAGTTTCTGTTTACTCCAGTATAAATGAGTGTTAGTCAAATGTGTCAAGACGCATTCACCACGTACATACACAAGATACCATTGAAGAAATAGGAGACATTATGAAAAGACTACTAGATAATAACAATCCTCTGAAATTCATTAAACGATAAAGGGACACAAATCAAAGGGTTCCACCAGTACAGTCAGCTAGCCCCGAAAGGGATGTTTATGTAACTTTGCCGTCCAAGTGTGATCGACAAAGTCTGATCACTTAGCAAAAACTCCAAAACGTGCTACGCACCTAAGCTCCTTTTCATAGGAAAAACAAGATTCATTTTATTCTGTAAACCGTTACAACAATTGGACGAGTATAGAAATATAAGGAGGACTCATCAATCTCTACTGGTTAGAGTTATCGAATACATTCCTAAGTGTCTGCACAAGCAAATGATATCATCCAACTCAAGTGACCCCGCATATAGATGCCCCTAGCGTCATCTATCGAGAGGTACACCATTGAGATGGGGCAAATAGTTGATTTTTATAGTGCCTCTAAACCCATATATAAAATAATTTTGGTTCATATTCGTCGACTTCATAGCCATAAAAAGGTCTAAACCTGTTTTGCGCGTTTGAAAGTTATTTATTATTATCATCATTATTTTAGACCTGACTTGGTATTCCATTTTTAAAACCAAGGTTTATTTTACACAACAGCATTTCCATCCTCTTTTCTTAGCTCATTTTCCTCTCTCATCTTTGATTGTGACCCGTCAACACTGACCCAGATTGGCAGAACTGTTATCCCTTATGCTCTGTCGCCTTCTATACGGATGAGTATGACAAGTACATGTGTGATCAGATAGCCAAAATGTTTGGTGCAAATACATCACGTCTTAGGTTAATCACATCTTATCGTTTCATCAAAGTAGTTTCGCACCAGTGTGCGTCAGTGGTTCAGTGATAGAATGCTCGCCAACCAAGCACGTGATCCGGGGTTCAAATCTTGACCGACACACTCTCCCAAACCTTCCTTAACCAGTAGTAAGACCGGGAAAGACGGGAGGTTGGGCAGAGGCTAGAAACCTCACCCCGCAAAAAAAGAATAACACCAGAGCTACTGAAACTTTAAAGCTCAACACCTGAAGCTTTATGTCCCACCCGAAACACAAAGGAATGAAATCCTATGAGAAAGTTAAATTCCGCATCATAATTATGGATTCGGACAGTTACATACGTTATGAAATAACAGCTAGAGTATTGAAACCGTTCGATATAGATATAGCACACAAGCCAGTCAAATCACTTAATTCGATATCCAACAGAAAAAGGAGATCAAATTAATACCATTTACAAAAAAAATTGCATGAACTGTAACAGGCATTACATCGGCCAAAGTGGGCGTCCCCTTCGAATCAGAATCCAGGAACACAAATCAGCCGTGAAAAGACATGATATATATTCTTTCATACCAATGCATATAGATAATTATAGACATCAGTTTGATTGGGATAATGTCAAAATCTTAAACAGAGGAAACACCATAAGTGCCAGGGAATTCCTAGAAGCCTGGTACTCAAACGAATACGCAATTAACAAGCACGTTAATATAGACCAAATATACCAACTAATAAAAAGTAAATCATATGATCAGAAAGTTTAAAATCCAAGTCAATAGAAAATGATCAATACATATGCAAAGATGGTTACCGGGTAGACGCAATTCTATCACTCATGAAAAATTTAAATCATTTCACTTTATGCTAAAAATTGCGCTGAAGATGTTGTCCAGAAGGACGACGAAAGTTTCGCAACTAAACCAACCATCTCAGATAACACTATTAATTACAAGTTACATACGTTATATTTTGTACATCTCCTCTCCTTACAATATGAAATAACCAGTCGTACATAAGTATAAGGTTTCTACTATTTATTAGTAGAAAACAAGGGAGACAGTAAAATACATCTGTATTACTTTATTACAACACTATTTAAACCTCACATAAATACAAATAGGATCAGAATACTAGTTTTTCTCAGAGTGTAGCAAGATACCGAAATAACTCAATTATGAAGGACTAGAAATTTAAAAACCACACTCACATACCAAGTTATGAGGCACACCTATCGCGTGACAGATAATGCTACTACCTGACTTCCGAAATACTCGTAGTTAGGGTAGACGCATAGATGAATTAGGGGCAAGACATATCCGAGATTTATGGCATGCATGGACACTTGTATACAACCCCATTCTTAGGGAGCTATTCTAGCGGAAACAGAATTAAACAAAGAATATGTTACGAGTAGTGAGATCAAACCATGGTATCAGTTTGTGAAGCTACTAACTGTTGGATTAAACCACATAAATGAGTTGGTCAGTTGGGATTTTCAGGATCCTGAGAATCATTGCATATAGATTTTTGGGAAAAAGATGAAAATCTTTCATAACAGAGTCGACATATATAATTCCTATCACTTTTCAGACTCCGAACATCTTCGCTAATCTGCCTTGACTGTTTTCTGTACTTTATTGACCTTCAGTAGCTGATGTAACACAATGCAAAGTTTTACGCCGTCATTACGTTGGTCACCTATCAGCTGAACTGATAGTACTGGACATTCATAGATAACTCTAGGAAATAGCTGTTCAATAGGGGATAACATGAACCAGAGTGATACTTTTTTTCACCTAGAAAAGCAGGAATGATAAGGATGAAGGCCACTAGGTTAAATCTCGTAGTAACAATATCAGAATTCAAGCAGGTCGATAATGGGTACTATCACTAGACCTTTTTGTTGATGAAATCTACTCGAATGCAAGTAGATGCAATGAGTTTTTATAATCGTAAATGCCATACAGTATTTACGTAACACTGTTCCTTGTAACCACGACTAAATCCTACAAAATCTACTTTGTCAATGACAGGTTACTAATACCCTTGAACATTTTGTATTATGTATTATACTGGATTTTGCGTTAAAAAAACTTATGAAAATAAAATTGTGGTTAAAGGTTTCTACGGTATCTACTAGTACAAAACTGAAAAATATATACCTTCATGAAAGATCTCATCGCTCGTTCATCATCTTCCGATTTTCGACGGAGTTCACCTCCAGGCAGTTTCACATTAGCCAAAGCTAAGTTAGCCAGGAGAGCAGAATTTACATCAACACGCCAGCGACGTTGGTCAACCTTATATGAGGAGACAACAGAAAAAAATGCACATAAACGTGCAATTCATTAAACATACTTTAAGCGTACTTTTTGGACTAATAAAATAACCAAAACACTATAAAGGTATAAAAATCCACATTTATTGCAGCTAATGTATTCAAAAATAAAACATAACATGATTCGCCCAACAACTGCTTTAGTACTATACTTGACGTTTTTCACCAACATACCACCAAAAAATATCAAAAGAATGTCTTAACTTTGTTTTTAAGAGCTGATAACTTAATTAAAAATTCAGCTTATTTTCCAAAAATAAATTTTTACGACCTTTAAAATATTTTAAGAGATTTCACACCGTATGGATAAAATTCATGCTAGTTGCGCAGACGTATCACTTGATACAAAGTCCATGACGACTTGTCCAACTCTTTACTTACTCACCTGATGTCTTCACTTGCTTTGGATGTCTCCTTAATAACCACTTAAATACTGCAAACACAAGTCACATACATTTTTTTCCCTTTTTCCCACAACCACAGGGATATTGATGCACTCGGCAATGAGCCACGCTTGAAGGTATGAGTGCCGATGATGTCACCTCTTTGCCTATAGCCCAGCAGGAGCAGCAGGGCTCGTATCCATGTCCCGCTGGTTGAAACTTCAATAACAAATCCAGTGAGCGTCAGAAGTTATCAAAATGTGACCTCAGATATGTGAATTATCGTGTACTAATGGTTACTTTGAGTCACATCGGTGCGACCTTTATACATTTAGAATGGTGACATGAGAATACTCCTGTTTCCTCAAGAGCTTTTTCGTCAACTAGTTTGTTAATGTTAAATGGCAAATTTTGCCTTCAAATGACTCAAGATATCTTTGGAGTAGGAAATCAATACTGATCGATGTCTTGCTACATTTAGTCGGTCTTATGTGTTCTGGTAGTTCTGAAGCCATTCGTAAAAAACGAACACCATAAAACCTACAGTACTAAATCACCCGAATCAAACATGTTACACATGCCTAACCATCGCCTTCCTCGACAACAGGAAATGTTTGCTGACATAGTATCAGTTTGGAAAAGAGTTAGCTAGTGGTGATCAAACCGAAAATTGGCTTCATTAGTCAGTGAAATCCATAACAATTAGTTCGAGCCACGCCGGGAGTTGTAGACATCCTGGTTAGTCGGGGTCCTCGGAACGGTAAAAGCCAATGGGTGGAGACAATTCGTGATATGGCTCAAAATCGTTCTCAATGACAGCGCACTCACTCTTTGTGATTTATTATATCCAATTAAACTATATTGTTCTTCCGTATTACAATTTTTCCCTCACACTTCTATCTATTATCTGTCTTGACACCTCCCTTTGCCCTCTTCTTTTGCATTGTGCTACATGGTGTGTGGCAACTAGAACTGTTGCACTTTTACACAAAGTTCTATGTTGAAACCGGTGGGCCAGTCGAATCAAACCGTATCTGGATGACTGACATAATTTTTGAAGTAATTCGCTTCTGCATGATAGATATTTAGACACATCAAGATTTGGTAATGTTAGGAAACAGTACTCATTAAATGATATTGAACGAACATCCATTAAGAAAAGTTTGTAATATGTCATAGATTTATTAGTACTCTAACCTCCAGACCCAACCTCATACTAACCTAAACTTGACCTTAACGTAAGCCTTGGTGTAACCCAAAAGTTAATTTAACCCTAAGCTCAATCGAATCCTTAAATAAAACACTAAACTTAACAAAATTATAAAACCAGATTAGCAGCAAAATGTGGAGGACTGATTAGTCCCCTCACACTTTTTGGTGGTGGCTACAACTCTGCAAATCCTTCAAGTGTTTTGTAGACATAATTCCTCTATCATCTTATCAATAATATCACAACTGTATGAAGAAAACGGTATATACCGGGTCCAATTACTTCCTATATTAATCTGCAACTAAATCAATTGAACACCATCTTTACTTAGTAAAAATTTCACATATGTAAATGATGGCTACATATCAAGAGAAATGTTGGGATGATACCATTCCTTCTTCGAACAACTCACCTCCACAATACGTCCAACCACAGTATCCCCAACATTTCCCAAATACCGTGCTTTCGGTGGTTCAACATATACAAGTTTGTTTACAATTCTCACACGTCCAGTAAGGGAAGTATGTATATTGGTGGCAGGGATGTTTGCATCACCTGTAGGTGTGTGTGGATCGGAAATTGCCACGTTTTCATCTGTGTTCACAACAGATCGGTAGGTTCCGTGACCAGTAATAAGGTTTGCGATTGAAGAGAATACTATTTCTCCAGGTATAACAGCAGAACCTTGTTGGATACTGGACGATGGTTCTGGCTGACCTTGGGCGACATAATCAACAGAACGATGTCCAGGTGCTGCGATTGTAGGATACATATAAACTGGCATTGTTCAGTTACAAATAGAGTGGTTGCAGCCTTGTGAGAACAATCGGAATTCGTTTTGTACCCCCTCGTGGGTGTAGCGTCAATGTCGTTCTTCCGCTTCTCATGACCTTCTAGATCCAATATCCAATATCCAATATCGTTTTTACGAGCTAGTATAAACCAATTTGATTTATTTGTGCTCGCCTCTTGATTGTGAGGTAGAGGTTCCTGATCTTTGGTAAACGTCTGTGTAGCTCGTCCCGCCACTCGACTGTCGTAGCTTTGGTTGACTCCAAGAGGAGTAGTGCTGGGATTAATTATATGGCGTCTGTAGTATGAAGTATGTTAAGACTGTTACTACTGTGAATGGAGTTAGTCCTTTCACCAGTTAGTCTTTCGGTATCGTCGTCAATGGAAAAGAGATAATAATAATAATAAATATAATTAGTAAAGGTATTCAGACTAACAGACAGAGAAAAAAAATAAGAAAACGTAACAACAGTCAGTCAACCGGTATACATATATATATATATATACCAGTAATAATGATAATAATAATAAGTGTAGTTAAAGCTGTCAGGAGAGTAAGACTGAAGGGAATGTGAAGAAGTAAAACGACCAGTTTAATTGTCTACCTTTGAATGGTATATGCGATTTTAAGGGGATAGGCCATTTGGATACAGTCCTTGTGTCGCTGCAAGGTTGTCCAGCCTTCGCTTAAAGGCGTCCACAGATGGTGCCATAGCTACATCTGCCGGTAAGGAATTCCAGGGACGGCAAACCCGCAGGGAAAAGAAGTGGGAGCGCACCCGGGTCCTTGCCCTCTGATGAGCTATCCTTCTAGGATTTCCACGAGGGAGCCTATACCTACTTAATGGCAGAACACCTTTGTTTGGGTGATTCTGATCATTTGTTATTTTGTAGGCAGTAATTAAATCCCCCCTAAGACGACGGTAACTAAGTGTGAATAGGCCTAATTTCTTCAGACTTTCATCATATGGTTTATTTCGGAGACCAACCACTCCTTTTGTTGTCCGTCGTTGGACTCTTTCCAAGGGGTTGGCGTCTCTTTTAAGCAGTGGGGGTGCAATGATATTATGCACTTCAAGATGCGATCTGACGTATGTTTTATACAACCTTAGAAAGAGCTCAGGAGTGAGTGCACCTAATTGTCTATGTGTAAAGTGTATGACCGCATATGCCCTCGCTACATCCCCCGTGTAATTCACGCTTGTGTCCATTTTCTCCGTTAGAACTAGACCTAAGTCACGTTCCGACGTTGAGCAGGACAGGCTTTCATTGCACAGGGTGTAACTTGCATTCTGCAGTCTACAGGTGCGTAACTTCACTACTTTGCACTTTTTCAGGTTGAAAGTCATTCCACTGGTTACCGCCCAGTCTTCCAGAAGCCTTAGATCTGCCTGAAGCCTATCTGAGTCCTCCGGACACTTTACCGCCCTCCATATCTTTACGTCATCAGCGTATAGAAGAGTCGGGCAGTTTAGACGGCATGGTAAATCATTGATAAAAATCAAGAACATCAGTGGTCCCAGGATAGAACCCTGCGACACTCCTGATGACGAGCTGTGCCAAGATGATCGGACTCGATTGACCTTGGTGCAAAATTGCCTTTCAGTTAGGTAGTCCTTCAACCATGACAGAAGTGGTTTACCTAGACCTACCTGGCTTATTTTGTGTAGGAGAAGGTCATGGTGAACAGTGTCAAATGCCTTCTCAAAGTCTAGAAAGATCACATGGACAGGAACATTCATATCCCAGCATGATGTCCAGTCGTCCCAAGCTGATAATAAGTTAGTGACGCAGGATCTTCCTTTCCTGAAACCGTGTTGGGCTTCATGGAGTATTTTAGACCTATCCAGATATTCCCTGATGTGATCATCAATAATACTTTCCAGTACTTCCGATACCACTGGGAGTAGAGCTACTGGTCTATAACTGGTGGGATTTTGCCTATCCCCACCCTTGAAGATCGAAAAAGGATGCTTCTTTTCCATTCCTTTGGCAGTTTTCCCGATTCCATGGATTGTTGGAACAAGTCGCATAAAGGCCTACAGAGAGCTTCGGCGCACTGTTTCAGAACAGATGGCCTGATGTCATCACAACCTGGGGACTTCCCAGGTATGAGTCGCTGCAGCTTTCTCAGTACTATTGCAGGGTTTATTTGAGGAGTGGCTATTTGGTCTTCCTCCTGTGAAATAGTCATGCCACCATTTTGGTTCGCAACGGTAATACCCACATTGCTGTTTAGCTGTTTGGCGAAGGCTAAACTGAATGTTTCAGCCATCTCCAGACTAGTGAGATATTGACCGTTTTGGCCTACTAAGGCGCAAGCCCCTTGGTTGGTTGGTTTCCTTTCCGACATGAATCGGTACAAATTCTTCGGGTTTGCCAGGAGATTTTTAGCAAGGTTAGCCTGGAATGACCTTCTGTCCCTCCTGACTCTTGCATTGCACCGGTTCCTGAGTTCCAGGTATGCATCATGGTCGATCTGGCTTCTAGATACGCGCCACGTAAACCAAGCCTTCCTCTTTGCTTGCAGAATACGCTGCGTGCCTCTCTTTAACCATGATGATTTTCTTTTTGGCTGTGCTGTGACTAAAGGGACGGTATCCGAGATCGCTGTATGAATAATCTTTTTTACCGCTTCCCAGTGTTCATCCATAGACAGCTCATCCCATGCTAAGGGCCAGTCTGCATCGGACAAGAGCCTCCGCATTTCAGCGTAGTCAGCCTTGCTGTAACACAGACATGGTTGCGTAGCGTCCCACTGCAAGTGCTCACGGAGAACGAGGTCGAAACCTATGACTGCATGGTCACTACTTCCTAGAGGAGTCATGACCTGGACCTTTTCGACGAGTAGTTGGGCACTAGTTAGAATGTAGTCTAGTTTTGATGACTTTCCACTAGGGCCCCACCTAGTGTCGTCTCCAACATTCTCAGTCAGTCCCGTGTCCCGAATAGCTTGCAGTAGATTTCGGCCGAATTATCCCTTAGCATACCCCGAGCCAAGGTTCAGTGATGGGGCATTGAAATCTCCAGCAATGGTGATTTGGTCATAGCCCAAGTCTCGTATCCCTGTGATAGTGCTGAGCAGTAGCTGATTGTGCTCTGCCCCACAGGTGGTAGATCGGTAGATGCCACCAAGTGAATGCTTGGTGTGGCCTACGGTGAAATGACACCATATGGAGTCTGGGAGTTCAATAAGTGGTGGGTCCGTTGCGCGAACACATTTAAGTTGCCTATCAAAGTATATGGCAACTCCCCCTCCTTCCTTATTATCCCTTTCTCTCCTGACCAAAACCATATCACCTATACTGATTTCATTATCGGCGATAGTGGGTGTTAGCCATATTTCGGTGAGAATGATTATTTTCAGTTGTAGGTGTGCTTGGAGATTTCGGAGTTCACCTATTTTTACCCTCAGCCCCCTCACATTGCTATATAGGCAGCTGACAGTGAGTCTTACAACCTCAGCGTGTTGTGGGGTAGTTGACGTGAAGCTGTCTGCTGGTAGGGAACTTAGTGTTGGGACTAATTGGCCAGTTCCGATGGAACCGGCCCATTGTGGTTTTTTCCCTTGGATTTAGGCAGGACACTTGGATGACACAGACTGTTATTCTCAGAACTGCATCGCTCGAGTGTCACTGAAGCTTGGGGACGTATTAAAGCCTCAGTTTGCTGCCTCCTTATGGTTCGAGGTCTGCTTTCGCAACATCAGATGTGTCCTCCCAATTTCCCCTTGATCTCATACCACCGTTGAAGTGCTATGGCCAACTGCTCTGGGGAGTTGAATGTGACACTAAGCAGCTTTGGGGAGCTAATAAGTGTGAGATGAGCGGGGCTCCAGAAGCGCCAAGGGCCATCTGAGACGACAGCCATCTCCACTGCTGTACGTCATGCATGTGTTTTTCACAGGCAGTGCCCGTTTCCAGCTCCGGGACACCGTGCACTACCATAGAGGTGGAAGGCAAAAGTTCCGGTGACTCCCTTGCCATTTGTCTGACAGCCCATGGTCTGTCTTGTCTCACCCTTATGTTAGAGCTTCTGTCGATGGCTAGTACCTGAGCCATCAATAGTACCTTTTCGGCCTCTTCGGCAGAGTCCAGTGTAACCCGTAATGGGGGTGGCTTACCTTGAGGTGTGTGGGCACCCCTGTACAGCCTGCACAACTTCACTGAACTAATATTTTGACCTAGTTTATTGCACAGGTTGGACCACTGTTCCTGATCAAACAGGGCCCGCTGTTCAAGCAAGCTGTCCTTGCTCACAGGTACGTTAAAGAGGATGAGCGAATTAGACCGATTAACCTCAGACTTAGGTTTGGCCTTTGGCTTCTCATATTCCTTTGCAGCATCAGCAACTTTAGGCTTCATCGGGTTCTGGCCAGCCTTTATTGTGTTGCCAAGCTTGCTTGTGGATGAGAGTGGTGCTTCTCTAACTCTATCTTTCCTTAATGTTTTAGGTCCAACCTTGTGAATCTTCACCTTGTGAAAATTGGCATTTTCGGTCAGTAGGACTGGAGTGTCCTTCTTACTGTCTATGCCAAGTTTTGGCAATGTGATGTTAGCAGGTGGGGAGCTACATAAGACCGTGTTGGGACACAAGGGCGGCGTGAAGTTTCTGCTAACCGCAGACACGCTCTGTGTGACTACACCAGGGCGACAGAGTGGACAGATGTACCAAAACCACGGGCACGGGTTATTTCTCATAAACTCGTAGTATGATTTCGGTACCTCTTTGTCGCAACGGCAGTGCACCCACCGTTTGCAAAAATTGCATTCGAAAGCTGAGTCAGCTTTAGAAACAATGATATTGCACGCCTGGCATTCGTCTCCCTTACTTGGTGACGCCTTCGAGGTCTTATGACGTCTTGAGCGTTTCCTTTTAGGTTTGTTGTACTTCACACATTGGCTTTCAGTTGGTGCAGGTGTAGTATCCTGTCCTACTAGTATTGCCTGCGCCGTTTCAGTATTAGACTGTGGCAGTGCAGGCATAGTATCAGGACAGACGAGTCCTACACGGGTCTTTAGGATGGGTATGCAATTTGGGGTTGGTGTCCCTGCATTTTTGCCTTCTCTGGCTGAAGCCCTTGTGACTACA